TACATTAGATTACAGCTGATATTTGAATAAATGGCAGAACCGAGGGCCAAAATTTCGTGAAAGGTTGCAGGTGGCCATTCATCCACCATACAACACACAAGAAACTGGGTCAGTAGCTATACAGCATACTTCCACGTATGACAGGTTGATAAACTGTGACACATTTACGGAGGTGTAAAATGCCTGGGTAATGGGTAATACGTTAACAGGGTGCCTACAATGGTGATCATAGTGACATCAAATCGGAATTCTCTGAGCACGTTTCGACACCTTCTTTGGTCTTAGGGTTTCAGAGGACATATAGAAGTTTAAAACGAGCTGGTTCCATGCTAGAAGTTCCGATAAGCTAAGAACAAGTACAGTTGAAGTCACCTGTCTTCAGTTACCGGGTCTTTCTCCCCTGTATCACATGGTAGATGGATATCTGGTCTAGTGCAACATTTATGCCTACATAATTGCATATGAATTTAGTTTGTGTCTTTTCTACGTGTTTACAACGATTGATTAAGTAACCAGATACATCGAACTTTCTCTTGAACAATGTACTCATCTCTCATAAGAATACACGAAAAGGTACCTTTTTGTATTTACTTTTAGTATTTTGTTTAATTAAAAGGGACTGGTATAGAAAGAACATATTGTATATTAGTGATGGCCTAATTGGACATGAATCTTTGTAAAGAGTGTAGGAAGGAAACAAAGCTATCCTTGCTTGGCAGCTGCTGGTTACGTCATATAGTACACAGGGCGACCCTGACCAGTACATGGCATGTTGGTGTTTCCATCTATCAGCGTGGCAACTTGGATTAACCCTCCCCAGTACCGCCGTCTGACTTGTGGTGGTCTCGCCAAGGCCTGGCAGAAACTGGGACTGTCCTATTGTGTGGAGAACTGCCATCCATCACTACACCCCCTAGGGACAGATTCACTAAACACATGCACCGTGTCGGAAAACGAGGGGAAGCATTACGATATCATGGCAGATAAAATCAATAACCGATTATAGTAAACTGTACTGCCCTAGCCTCGTGCGGGTGGCCCTTTATGTAATGCGACAGTAGGCTGACCGGCAGCTTTATGTTACTGAAAAGTAGGGTAGGTCCATCAACGCAGATACTTCGTTGGAGTCATCTTGACCTCTTCAGAGAGTTATAGTTTCTGGACTACAGTCAAAGAAACTTCAAAGAAACGTTCCAAATTTATGTAAGCAGTAAACACGTCAGGCAGTCGAATATGAGCAAGTATTGGTGAAACCGGCACAATACTGTATTGCTCCAAGACAACCCCAAAATACATTACAATAGTCATCGGCTAATGTCGCTTTGTGCATGTGGGCCCAAGAATCAGAGACCATATAATATGTAGGATTCGAGTCCTGGATAGAAGTCGGAATGCATGTCCTTTTAGATAAAACCAAAACTGCATGTTTTGAAGCAGTGTCTGAAGAGAATCCAAGCAGAACATCCAAGCCAATCTGGATCATACGTTTCTTATACTCATAAGGAAGGCAACTCAGGGAATTGTGGCGCCTTGCACGACAGAGTCATCAGTGCCAAGTAACACTGACAGATGCCTTTACCTTACGTTAAATAGCAAACGCAAGTCTAGGTAAGAGACAGTGCCTGAATAAGCAAGTCTGCGGTGGAAATATTACATAAACGCTTTCAAAGGTAGATAACCGAGTTGAGGGAATAAACCTAAAAGTTTGTGGTTACTTTTTGCACTACGTTGAACGTGCACTTCGCACGCGACTTGAACGCACAAGGTCACGCTGAGTGGGTCAGAAGCCAATGGCTGCTAGCCATGGTCTAAGGACCATTAATTAAAGAGTAAAACTTTGGCAGCGGGCCAGAGAAGTTACCCCCAGCATTGGTTGTGCTTTATCAATCACCCATGCGAGATTGTTGTCCCAATTAAATACCAGGACTTGCGTTAATTATGCATGTATCTCTTGCATTTCATCTAAAAGCCGGAAGGACTTAGTCTACACTCACAAACAAAATGTCCCTTGTGGAGTGTGTTTCTGTACGTTCCCAGATACAGGGTAGTAGCACATTAGCGACGATCATGTCGCGGGCCATACCAAATCAATCATTGGTATAGGGTGGACGAGTAGGATGATGTTCTTCGACACGTGCTTACATTTCACAAAATAACAACGAATTAGATATTCTTTATGTCAGATTTAACGGATGTTTATTTGGTATAATAAACTACGTATCGGAATATCTTTATTCTGTATTTATAATACTGACATATGCTAAACACCATTTATTGACAGATAAAAAAGATATACACCAACTTTGATGGTGGCTGGAAATGAAACAAACAAGGAAGGGTTATTCGATGGCGGTGTAATTCCTATTTTGGACCTTTCGTTGACACCTAATAACACTTTGATAACGTTTGTAATTTGGTCTCCAGTTTTCTACTGTGTATTTTTCTTTGGCTTAGCAGTTCAAATGAATATGTGCACCCAACGGCTGAGGTAAAATTGTAAAGATATAATTGCAGAAAGAGAATATTTTCACAATCAATAGTGGTATCTTACACGATTCGTTTCATACCAGAGTAAATCTAAAACCCTTCATCATTATTATTAACAGATCAAAATAAATAAATTCAGCACAGATGGTTCAGGTGATCCTGGCACAGCTAGAGCCATTGCCCCCTCTACACAGCCCAAACAGCGAATGGGACTTTCTCAGGAAGCGCTGCCTAGTTGAAACCACCAAGAACTTTCCGTAGATTCAATTCTGCATTACCCAGAGTGCCAGGACTGTGTTCCAGAACAGCAGATTCGACAGCAAACCGGAGCACCTTCCTCATGTCAGTCAAGAGATTGAGAGGTACCTAAGGTGCCAAGAACTATCATGAGTCAGAAAACTAGGCATTTCATAAGCGAGGTCCGCATAATTACCATGGATTCCCCATAAACTTGTTAATGACATTTGTCTAAAAGGCACACAAAATACAATGGCATACGTAATTTCATTGATTTTATCAAAAAGGACAAGTAAAGGTATGGTTTGTTAGCATGAATACTTCTGAAGCTGTAGATGGGCCTAGTCCGCAGAACTTTATAATTACGTTTTCCATGAAGTCCTCTACATATACTCAGAGGGGTGCAACGTGTGAAGCCCATTTCTGGTGTCCCCCGCCGTGATATTACTGGAATATTGATGAAAGCAGTGTAAATCACTCACTCACTTAGAGGCTTAAGTTATTGTGACACACATACAAACGGAATCATTGAAAATGTTTCAAGGTATGATGCAGAGCAACATTCTATAAGAACAGCGCAACTAGCATATGCAAATGAGCCACGACACACGAGATGGTTCATAAGCAACTTCACGCCACGTCTCAACTGGAGACGTGGACGTGGACGTCGACTCTGGCATCAGAATTGGCCGTCGGGCTGGGCATATTGCCGTAGATGCGTAGACGTTGTGGAACACCTCAGTTGCCATGTATGCCATGCTGTCAGGTTTGCTACCTGGGTGCCGTTGTGCAAAACAACCTTAGCGCTAAGACTACCGTAAGTCTATGTTAAAATATGGGAGTTACGGCCACCTTAGCGCTAAGACTACCGTAAGTCTATGTTAAGATATGGGAGTTACGGTCACCTTAGCGGTAAAGTTGTTTTGTACAACGGCACCCAGGAACCTTTGTCGGTGGTGCGTGGTTCGAATCCATATTCTATATTTCATATCACAGCTAAATGTATTACTATTTCCAATCTTTCTAATGACAAACTGTCGTTCTACTTTCAGTGTTTCTCACTGTGACGTTTAAAAGCTATCGTGTTAAAGGTAAACAGTATGGTGTGTAAATAGCCATCCACTGCAATTTGTATGACGTAAATTATGTTCTGTGTATTCATTTTGAATTATTGTCAGAACGCTTTGTTCTTGTTGCAACAGGTACCAAAACAAATTTATACAAGCACAAAATAACTGCGTCAATCCGGCTGTGTATACAGTTGTTCAAGAACCATTTGCGCAAAAAAACCTCGAGCATGTGTGAAGACTTCAGTGTCGATCTGTTTGTACTCTTATTAGTAATAAAAAAACTTATTTAATAAAAACAATAGTTGGTATTCATCACGCGCAAATAATGTGCACGAAGTAGAGAAGTGTGTTTCTCACGGTTTGTTGGTGCCGACATGGAGAGATCGCCGACATCAAAGCGGAGCCTACCGTGTGAGTAGCTGGCCGATATGTTTACCGGAAGTGCTTCCTTGTCGTGACGTCGTGGATGAATGGCGTTCAGGCAGGCGTGACGCGCGACATGAGTTTTGAAGCCGCCCAGGCTTCCTTCACACAGTAAGGACACTGTGAAAAGACTGACATGACTACTGTCAGTTAGTAATCCAATAGTAGGTCATCGGGTTGATTAAGTCAGCTAACCCACGGAAAAACGTGAGAAAGTAAAGTTCATATAGAGAGGTATATTCTTATACACGCGCACTCGGACACTGTGTTCGTGCAGTTTGACTGTAACCAAATCAGTACACAAGAACGCTTGGGTTTCCCACAAACTAGATTAATTCATGCATATCTATAAGTCAGGAGATATGTTTACACGGGTGTCTGAGCATTAAACTGGATTCAAGTAGCAGTGTTATAATGTACGATGTGAAGTGATAGATTCTAATGGGAGAGAATAAAGGCTTACTGATCACCCTAGATAATAATAATAATAATAATAATAATAATAATAATAATCTACTTCTATAGCGCCGAGTTCCAGCTAGGCTGCTCACAGGCGCTTGTGCAGTTCAGTTTATTTCATTTAAAATAGATGTGTCTTTAAATGTTTTCGAAAAGTTTGTAGACTTGGGGTGGATTTTAGCGACAGATAATGTGTTTTGAAACTCACATGGCCATAATGTGCTTCACAGTATGCATTACGATACGATACTTTAAGTAGATCAGACATATTGACCGACTGACTGACTCACAGACTGAGCCGCTAACTATCCAAGGACTGATCCAATGACTGACCAACAAACTCATTCGCTGACAGGCGGCCTGCGTCAGTTACTGACTGACCCACATAAGGACTTTGTTACTGACCGACAGGTTGACCCACTGACTGACCGACAGGTTGACCCACTGACTGACCGACAGGTTGACCAACTGACTGACCGACAGGTTGACCCTCTGACTGACCCCGGGTCTGATCGACAGATTGACCCTCTGACTGACCCTCTGACTGACCGACAGGTTGACCCACTGACTGACCCTCTGACTGACCAACAGGTTGACCCACTGACTGGCCGACAGGTTGACCCTGAGACTGACCGACAGGTTGACCCTCTGATTGACCCCGAGTCTGATCGACAGATTGACCCTCTGACTGACCGACAGGTTGACCCTCTGACTGACCGACAGGTTAACCCTGAGACTGATCGACAGATTGACCCTCTGACTGAACGACAGGTTGACCCTGAGACTGACCGACAGGTTGACCCTGAGACTGACCGACAGGTTGACCCACTGACTGACCCCGAGTCTGATCGACAGATTGACCCAATAACTGACCCTTTGACTGACCCACAGGTTGACCCTCTGCCTGACCCCGAGTCTGATCGACAGATTGACCCTCTGACTGACCCTCTGACTGACCGACAGGTTGACCCACTGACTGACCGACAGGTTGACCCTGAGACTGACCGACAGGTTGACCCTGAGACTGACCGACAGGTTGACCCACTGACTGACCCTCTGACTGACCGACAGGTTGACCCTCTGACTGACCCTCTGACTGACCGACAGGTTGACCCACTGACTGACCGACAGGTTGACCCACTGACTGACCCCGAGTCTGATCGACAGATTGACCCTCTGACTGACCCTCAGGTTGACTCACTGATTGACCAACAGGTTGACCCACTGACTGACCCTCTGACTGACCGACAGGTTGACTCACTGACTGACCGACAGGTTGACCCTCACTGACTGACCAACTGACTGACCCTCTGACTGACCGACAGGTTGACCCTCTGACTGACCGACAGGTTGACCCTCTGACTGACCGACAGGTTGACCCTCTGACTGACCCCGAGTCTGATCGACAGGTTGACCCTGAGACTGACCGACAGGTTGACCCACTGACTGACCCCGAGTCTGATCGACAGACTTACCAACAGGCTAAATCCTAACTTCAGTGAACACATATGGTCTCCAGGAGGACCAAATATAAACTTACCTTACAGATTATCATCTTCTGTTCTTCAAAAACTACTTTGACTATGTTCTCGCGTCCTGCAGATCAGTACATTGCATATATATTGCAGCGGCAAAGGTCGCATTTCAGTGGAATAAAAATAATCATTTTCAGGGTAGGCACAATCTATATAAGCCAACATATGAATACTTTGCTGTAATATATTATTTCGTGAGTGCGACGTTTCGATACAGATTCTTGTACCGTTGCCATAAATATGTATCGAAACGTCGCACTCACGAAATACAGTAGTTGTTATCCATAATGTTTGTTCAATATTGAATTTAGTTTTGTATAATGCTCAGTGAAAAATGTCAATCATTCAATTATATAACGCACTTTCCTATTCAATTCATTTGCCTGTCTTGTGCACATTTGAGACATATATTTTCCCCACCAAGACAGACAATATACAATAATATCATTAGATTACAGCAAATACGAAATAACACAAGGTGAGAAAAAGGTAACACGAAGAAATTCCACAGTAATTTGAACTTGTGTCAAATACAAGTCAGATAAACCACCGAGGTCCTCCTGTAAACACGTGCATTGTGATTAGGTGTCCCCAAACTCATCACATGTTTTCAAAACTCAGCAGGTTATAATTGTTGATGAAATAACATGACAACATCCCCGGGTTTTTTCCAACTGATGTCAGTATGACGCATGTCCATAATGACGTCACCAACCTGTATTATGCATGTAGTTGTCTGCCCTTGGCACGACACCCGTTCAGGTGTCGAAAAGACAATTACATTATTTGATGACCTAGAGAAAAACGTGCAATAATAATGCATGGAATAAGATAAGCGAAATATGTGACGTTCCTTCACAGGGGACGCATCCAGAGAATACTCTTGTGACAGTAAGACGTTATGCACTTATCCAGGAAGATAGTTTGGTAAGCTGTAAATTTAACCTGACATGCACTTTAATATTTAAGCACAATATAAAACAAAACATGCTATTTCAAAAATACAAACTTGATAAATCTATATCCACATGGTTTTTTTCTATTTTACCTGTGAAGATTCGGGTGACAATTGGTCTTCAGCAACCCATGCTTGTTGTAAGAGGCGACTAACAGGATCGGGTGGTCATGCTCGCTGACATGGTAGACACGTGTCATCGTATCCCAATTGCGTATATCGGTGCTCATGATGTTGATGACTGGATTGGCTGGTTCAGACTCGATTAATTACAGACCACCGCCTTATAGCTGGAATATTGATAAGCGTGGCGTAAAACTAAATTCACTCACTCACTCACTCATTCTTCACTTTTATAAATGCATCACATACACGTGACTTCACTCATCGAGAGCAATGACCTCGGTGCACTGAACGGTGCGATGTCCCTGATAAATATTATTGATGGTACACTGTGTTTATTTACAAGTGAAGCTAGGCACGCCGATAACCATCCACTACCTTATATGGGCAGTGTTTACGTCCTGGTCTGGTATCGTGGAATATTCCATGTCTTCCAAAACATTCGATTGTACCCGAATGTACTCGTAGGGCGATAACAACCAAGGCCAACCCGGGGGCAGGTACCGGGGCTGATTCCCCTGAGCACGGGCTTTCCGTGAACATTGTGTGACCCAGTTTCGCTTTTGATATGCTCTGATGTGGCACTGCCACACTCTACCGAATCGCGTGATGTGGTTACCCTCTTTGATGTTTGCGACCATGCAATTATCTCTCCGTCCTTGTAATGGATTAGCGAATGTCTATAATTTGTGTAGCTAGTGACACGTTTAGGCTGCGGAGTGTGAAAAGTGCTGGCATTCGGATCTGGCTAGTCAAAAACTTTTAACAGATTGTAACTTTGTAACAAAAGTAGCCTACTGAAAGTTAAATAAAAATCTGTTTTAATTTGTATGCTCAGTGCAGGCTTATATCAATGTATGAAACACCTACAAACTCCTAAAAAAACAGGAAGCCCACAGGTCTGATAACTGAAACATGTTGCTGGTCCTGTTAACATGTAACCAGCCCTGTATTTAAAATAGCAAACTGAGATAAGGTGTTAAATTATTGTAATTAATGAATTACTTGTACATGTGCAAAAGCAATTTAAAAGAACTTGGTGGTCACTGTTGATTCATTTAGTGTCACTGTCATCTGAATAAAAAAAACCAGGCAATCTCAGAATCAGTCTCAGTATCTTTGGAAAGAATGTTCTCTGTTCTTAGTGCAATGAGCACAGGGGATTTGTAACTCTCCCTGTGAAAAGTAAATATGTGCAACAACAAATTTAACAAATACAACTTGGTCACTCTTAATTCAGTCAGTATCACTATCATCTAGATCGGAAAAATCAGAGGCAAAGTCAGAATCAATCTCGGGAACAGACTCTTTGGCAGGAATGTTCTCATCAAGTTCATCACTCATGACCACATGGGATTTGTAACTCTTCCTGTCCACGCATTCGAACTATACAGACGTCATCTAGCTACCACAATTGTAAACTATTTTCGAAATATTTCCCATAGTCAATGACATGGTGAAATATATACCCTTGGAAAATGTATTGGCCCACAGGGCTGGCTATAAAATAAAGTTGTAAGCCCGCCATGTAACTAGCAAGCAGCGGGCCGCCGGGCAGACACTATTTCATACACTGCTTATTCATATGTATGTGTGCATGTATATTTATATGTGTGCGTGTGAGCATGTGTGTGAGCATGTGAGCATGTGAGCATGTGTGTGTGTGTGTGTGTGTGAGAGAGAGAGAGAGAGAGTGAGTTAATGTGTGTGTGTGACAGAGTGAGTGAATGTGTGTGTATGTGTGTGTGTGTGAGTGAGTGAGTGATATTTTACCCTTTTATACCGTTATACTGTTGATAATCGTACTCATTTTAATAACTGTATATATACTAAAACAAAAGAAAAAAGAAGGGCATGAAGGTGGGAAGGGGTTTCGTATGGACTGTGCAGTTACCATACCCCTGAACAGTGTGTTACTGGTTGACGTCGCGGTTGTAAAACGATGACAACATTTGATTATCCGCGGCATGTGACGTCACAAGTGGCCGTCCTGTCCTGGCTAGCTATTCTCGAAACGTTCGTAGTCCTAGGAACTTCTTAACTTTGATCGTAGTCAAGGTGTTGAGAACTGACTTTAGAAGTTCGCAGGGCTACGAACTTTCCGAGAATAGCACAAAGGGCGTGCTGCATACACCCCGCGTGGTTCACCACATTTGAAATGGGTGAATACATCAGGCAAGAGTGAGTGAGTTTAGTTTTAAGCCACGTTTAGCAATATTCAAGGAATCGGTTAACGAGAGATCAACGACAACAAGCCATTGGCCGTCAAGACGCTGGTCAACGTGCTGGAGTCATTGCTAATGACTTCAATTGCAGCGTACTCGTGAACGATAGAACGTCTTAGACAGCGACACAACACCACCAACAGCACTGATGACCGTCCACGTTGTGGTCGACCCTGTGTAACAACACGTCGCCAGGACCGTCATATCAACACCTCTCGTTAACCTCGCCATAGCTGCTTTGTTCAGAAAACAAGTGAACGATTGCCCTTCAAGCCGGAATCTTTTGCCTAAATGCATGCATGATGCACGTGCATCTCGATTTCAATGTTGTGTTTGTCCGAACTCTTCCCTTTCCACAAGCAAAAACATTTCAAACCTCAATCTCAAACAATACTTTATTGGGCAATACAGGCCATACGACCACGATTCATGTTTTCCTCAAACTTTACTTCCGGTGTATATTTTTTTTTAAATGGGTTCAAATACTCCATTGATACATAAATGTCATTTCCAATATTACGACGTTTCTTTTGCCTTTCAGTATATTAACTATCTTGAACTACCTATCTTAAACATCTGAAACATCATTTCTCCAAATGTGTAGTTTCCTTTTTAGTTCAGTATAGATAATTCTACACATAATTACACACTTTTAAGATAAAATCTTCAGAAGTGATACACAAAAAGGGGAAACATTTGTGGATGTCAACTTCTGTATCGTGGGGAACACAATGTTCCGGGTACATTCACATATTTCACGTGATGAAACAGTAAGGATATGTTATGAAATGTCTTATTCCACGTGATACAACAGTTGATATTAAAAAATGTTTCTCCATATAAGAAAAACATTCCGCTTATATAACTGTCTATCTATCTAATTTTTCTATCTACCTATATATATATGCATAAAATTAATAATACTGTGCATTTGTATTTAATGGAGATACTATATATATATATATATATCCCATTAAATACAAATTACTGTGCATTGTTGCGTATGTTTTCATCTGACATCAATCAATTAATAAAATGTTTCTGTTGAAAAAACATTTATTGGACAACTGATATGGAAACATATATCTTACATGTCAATCAGACAATCTTAATTCCGTATAACGTTATTGTATATGGTGATCGAAATACAGATAGATGGCAGTGTCAACGAGTTCCTGTTTGAAGGTGTTGTTCATGTTGTTACATTCTGAGAGCTAAACAATATAAGCTTTTCCTGCTTTCCACTGAGATTATGTTTGTTGTAAATGTATCGATATATGATTAATCTATACTTTTGAAAAGTAAACGATTTATTAATCTTTTTGTGTTTTTTGTCCACTTCTTTTGATCGTCAATTAAATATGTTCGACAAAAGGGTTATTATCTGCGCCAAAAAGTCGCCAAATTGTAAAGAAGTTCATACGTTCGTCCAAATCAATTGTTCTTACCATACCCATTTTCCGCTTTGCTTTCCACTCATTGAAAGCGATCCTGCTTGGCACCATTTTATAGACTTGTGGTTGTGGTTGTGGTTTATTTTGTATTATTGTTTTGTTGTTGTTTCGGGCTGTGCTGCTTTTTCACCCTTTTATTAAAGCAGAAAAGCAAAAGCATACTTCAGACAGGTCTAGTTGATTTTAATTTAACCATTATTT